GTCATGCTCTTCAGGTCATTCAACATCAAATAAGGTCAAACTCCAGGTTAGTGTCCAAAGTGCCCCAGGACCTAGATACTCGTGCAAAGTAAGGGGTCTTTAGTGCTCATTTAAGGTCGCTAGCCTTTTTTGATCTTTCACAGGTCACGGTGACCAAAATCATACGAGACTGCTTTGAGTTTTACATTTGAATAAGCGTCAAGATTATGCTAAGCAGCATGTCCCTAAAACGAAGTGGTGACCTGGGTCATTTTCGGTCAGTGATGATGATGATGATGATTAGGGGTTTTGGGACGCATCGACTGCTGTCAGTCATATAGCGCCCATAACTATCATTTTATGCATAGCCGCAAATCAGACATGGGTATCGATCAGGAAAATGATGCATGCATCATTTTTGGTCAGTAACCTACCCTGATCGTTAAGAGGCTTATGGAAGCTGTATAGCGCGGTTCCGTTACCAATAGATTCGAAATGAGCATCAGGAACTACCCCCATACAGCAGGTTCTAGAGTAATAAAACAGATTGGTTTTGACCTTGGTCTGGCCTTCATACTTGACCCTAGCTCAACGTAATTTGTTCATTTAGTTGTGTTGCCTAAGAAACTATACCAGAGGTAGCCGAGCTACGCCTAACACCCCGTTGTTGCATTAGATTGAACGATTCCCTGACCTGACGGTGACCCCTACTCAGGCGCGTGTAGCTAAAAATTACAGGCGCTATGTCGGTGGTGAGATTGGGTAAATGATTCGGGTGGGTTTGGCTTGGGGAAATGCGCTAACCAGTCTAATAACGTTCTTGTTAGGAAAATTCGGCGACCTTTTGCTGCATTGCTTCTACTGGACTGACTCTCAAGAAAGCATTGTGTAGAGGCACGCATTTCTCTCTGCAACTATGGTCCTTGCCAAGATAGGCTTCTCCGCACCCCAATGCAGAGAACCGAGATGTTTCATGAAGCTGGCACATAAAGGCAATGTTTCACATTTGAAGATATTAAAGCAAACATCATTTATGATAAAACCAGCTCACTTATAGCGTTTGGTATGCTTTTTGAATGGAAAAGACCGCTCTAGACCGCACAGTTCTCTGTTTAGCGAATATGCCCGTCTATGTATCATGACTTGATTGCGTCATCATACCTTGCGCAACATTGCTTGAGAGCCAATGGACGCCCACTATATCTGGAAGTCGCTCTCACGAATGCCAAATAGGAACGTCTCGACAATTTATTTTTTTGCCCTTGACCGCCGCGTGACTTATGGAATGGCAGGATTTGAATGACGTTATTATGACATTATGAATGTCAAGGTAGCCTTGAAATATTCCCTCCGACATACCTTTCTCCATTGTTGAGGACGTGTAGCTCAGAAACTAGAGGGGCTTACGTCTTAAGAAGGGCAGGATTGTGAACAGAGACGGAAGCTCCTCAAGACGGCTGTTTCGGTTTAAAACCGCGCATAGATGTGGAAAACTCCGTGACTGCCGGCGTGTATAGCGTATGACCAACGCATGTGCCCGTGAATATCAATGCGCATATGAGCGCCTTTGATGCGGACGCGTTTGCAAACTTGCTGCAATCTAGAAACGGGAAAAATGGAGTATATGGAGTAATTTAAGGTTGTCATTGATTTCCCAACAGTGGTATTTGTCACACAATCGCGGATGTGATAGTTGTTTGACTGGCAGCTGAGTGGTACAGCGTGATCAGCGAAAGCGGTAGTCGTCAGTAGTCCCTTACTAAGATATACTGGAATGTCATTTTGTTTTGTGAAGAACACCCTGTGCTGAGCTTTTTGCAAAAAAGTTAGCTTCATATCGCCTTAAAATGGGAACTCGTTTCTCTGTAGCAAAACAACTTTGGAATCTACCAACTATTTCAACGAACCTAATTTTGCTTGAGCGTCGCGGACTCAAATTTGAAGTGGCCAAAATCCGGGGAGAATCATATTTTGGGGACAGGTTAGGTCATCCTTTCGGCTCAGCCACCACAAACGATTTAAAAATGTGATATCCTGCCGCTGGATTAGTTTTTTTTCTCCCTCCACGTGAAGATCAAGTCGTGAGTTCTTTCTCGATAATATTCATCCTCAATAGCAAGTGAAGACGAAAGTGTTAACCGTAAGCACATTTGAATAAATATAACGCAGTCATTCGGTCCCAGACAGTCAGTCACTCAGTCCCAGACAGTTATTCACACAGTTCAGACAGGCAATCTCACCGTCCAGACTGTCACACAGCCCAGACAGTCAGCCACACAGCTCGAAAAGTCAGTCACACAGTTCAGACAGTCAGTAGGACAGTCAGTCACAGCTAAGCATCACTGCGCGCCGTATCAGGTGCACCACGCTCCCATCAAATCACATCAGCCCAGCTGACACCTCAGGTCAGTCCCCCCACCCCCACCCCACCCCCCTCTTCCTCGCAATCTCAGACCACCCGAACGAAGCCACCCGCAGGCAATCTGTTAGGCATTTGCTCTGTGCCGCGCTCGCCTTGTGCTTCCGGCGCGTTATCGACCGCGCGCGGCGCGGTGCGGTGGGCTCGGCGCGCCGTTTCGGTGGAACGCCCCCAACGCAAACAGCTGGTGCCAATACTCGCGGCCGTCCGTCGGTCACATGATATAGGCTTAAAAACAGGTAAGGGGTCCGATCTCATTTGGCGCAGGCAAGGGATTCCATCTCATCTGACGCAGGCCAGAGATGGGCGTGACATGTGGAATGAAGAGCGAGCTTAAGTGCGGTGCTAGCACCTCTGCGATTGCCGTGTTCGATGACAGCACGGATTTTTTGCACATCCGGTCGGGGAATCCGACCGGTGGAGTACGAGCAGCACTTGAAGCGTTCCTTTAGCGAATCTCTCATGTTTGTCTCGGTCCAGAGAGATCTAAATACATGATACATTTTTTGTTTCAAAGGGCTCAAAGGAGCTAGATGTCCTTAATGCCTGCAGACAGAATCTCTTTGAAATGCGAAAAGGACGCAATGACGGATTCTGCCTCGATTGCCCCACTGCATATCACCCGCGCATAAGACGTAACACGACGCACAGGCGCAGGCAGAATAACACTGTGTGGGGCTTTAAAGGAATACTTACAAGAAATATAAGGATATATGAAGTTAACCTGTCGGAACAGGAACATAGGCAAGGAGAGCCCGTTCATCATCCAATTTCGATGGAAAATTGACGCAATAGGCTTTTTGTTAGCAGTGAAGTGCGTGGAAAAAAGTCGCGTTCAGCTTAATTCCCCTCCTTTCTACTCCCTCCCCCCCCCCCTCGGCCAGATATTCACCTTTACTCGCATTTCATTTTGGCACTGCTAGAGCGCCATCATGTATCGCAGCTTATTCGCAGCATGTTTGAGATGTTTTTTGGTCTGAGAACAAGTGTGTGAATGACTGAATGTGAGGAGAAATCGAAATTTGTGTACACATATTTGGGAATGCATGTCGTTGGGACATCCCTTCCTCAAAATTACGTAAAAAGGTCCGGCTTAGCAAGAAATGCTTTTGTCGTATGCTGTCCCTCAATGGCTCAAGGCAGCCCAACGACAGCTTGCTCGACGAAACCATCCTTGCAGCGACATGATGAGACTGAGTGCTTGAGCTTGAACGTTTGAGCCCGTCGCCAGTGAGGTGCGATGTTTCACCCGAACGTCGTGCTGCAATGGCCGTGGAAGGTATTGCATCGCATTGTCATTCCATTGCAAAGCATTGTCATTCCATTGCAAAGCATTGTCCAGTGTGCCTGCTTCAGCGGGTGCGTTCCTTCGGACGCTCGGCTTTGAGCCGGACTCAGAGCACTCCAGCAGCGCCGCTGAAACGCACCGAGACGCGCACTGTCTTGTGACGTCTCAGCCCGTGACTGACCCCACGTCGTGACTCTCCATCTTTGACGCTTGTCTCTTCTCTCAAGCGCGTCCGCACGTGATTAGTCTCATTATTCCCTGACTTAATGAGGGGAGCACGACCTTTGGAAGCTGTCAGGCGAACCCCCGAAATGAACGCTCGGGACCATTTATCACACATCAGGACACCAGAAGTTGCCCTGGGTCACCCGAAATGCTGTATCATTCGGGCCTGTTTCCGAGCCCTCAAAGGATGGGTCGGAGGTGAAAACAGCTCTGGATAATGACGATGACATGGCGCAGTGGACACCAGCCATGCAGCTTCCAATGGCATCCGGCCGCGGCTGTCATATAACGAGTGGCGTCCGGCCGCGGCTGTCATAGAACGAGTGGCGTCCGGCCGCGGCCGTCATAGAACGAGTGGCGTCCGGCCGCGGCTGTCATAGAACGAGTGGCGTCCGGCCGCGGCTGTCATAGAACGAGTGGCCTCCGGCCGCGGCTGTCATAGAACGAGTGGCATCCGGCCGCGGCCTGTCAGAACGAGTGGCGCCCGGCCGCGGCCTGTCATAGAACGAGTGGCGTCCGGCCGCGGTCTGTCAGAACGAGTGGCGCCCGGCCGCGGCTGTCATCGAACGAATGGCGTCCGGCCGCGGCTGTCATAGAACGAGTGGTGTCCGGCCGCGGCCTGTCATAGAACGAGTGGCGTCCGGCCGCGGCCTGTCATAGAAACATATTTCTGAACGCGGTAGGACGCAGCCATGCCTTGATTCCGTGAAGTGGTGGATCTTGAATATGGCGCGCTAAATGACATAATGGAATTTTACCCGTGGATTTGCACGCTGATCGATTATGAATGTGATGAGCTGCAACACTTGAATAACGGATATCAGAAGACATAAGGCACGCTATGTTCTTACATGATTCGGTGTGATGGCAGAGGAAAACATAGCAGAGTCGCAGAAGTTTTGTCGGGGGATCTTGTCACGTGGAGTTGAGAGAGCCTATTGGCTTCGATCTATTTGCTATTGACACATATATTGCATGGTGTATCTTCAAGACACAGAGGGCAAGAAACAACTGTCTAGCTTTTCGCTGCCGCTGACGTGTACTGACGCGCCCTCCATGGAGTTGACAGTTCTGTCTGTTCTGTTCCAGCCGCCACCGACTCTGCGGTGCCGTGCGCCATGATGCTCTACCTGGCCACGTTGATGACGAAAGATTACCTGGATCCCTTGAAGGTCAGCAGTCTTTACTGCATGCACTTTCCACACAGAAGCGTAGCCAGAATTTCACCCAGAAGGAAGCCAATTCGGGGCTTAGACCCCTGTCAACCAAGAGGCCCATCTTTGCCGCTAAAGGGGCTCTGATTTTATTCGAACCGTTTTACGAGTGGAATATATTTCGATGCCTCGGAGGTCCGTTTTAGACATTAAGATTCAAACTTTTAGTTATTCTCAATCGCCAAAAGGCTCGGACACCTCCGGTCCCAGGAGGCCCCGCCACCTCCAGGGAGGGGCGGCAGGACCACAAAATCCTCCCCTCGGTAACGCCACTGAACCCACCTAAAGCTAGCCTCAATTACGTGTGTTCGTTTTGAGCAAACCTGGGCGTGGAAAGATTGTTTAACATAATCCCATTCTGATCTATCGTGAAAGGCTCTTCTCGCTGAGTTTGCGTTGTCTTTGAATGCAGCCCATGACCTCGCGAGGCAGCGCCACCCTTCTCCCCTCCCCTCCCCTCCCCCTCCCCCTCCCCTCCCCTCCCCTCCCCGCTCCCGCTCTCGTTCACCTCCCACTCGCCGTTTTCCGGACCATCACCGGCAGCTGGTGCAGCTTAATATGACGGTGGCGGGCGACTCGCCGCTCGGCTGGGGACAGCTCGGGGCATGCCGCCCGCGCGGCTCCCGCCGATGGTTCCATCACGTGACCCGACGGCGCCTGCGGCCATTCGTCTCCCACCCCAAATAGCGCCGAGGCTCAATTATTTCGTCCGGGCGGCAGCGGGCTAGATTGGCGCCAGGCGCAGACGCTATTGGTGACGGGCGCGTGGGCGGACATTGGGATCTCCGCGCCGCACCGGGCGCCGGGGGAGGGCGAGGGGGAGGGGGAGGGGGAGGGGCCTCCAACCTCAACGGCCTGACCCGCGGGCGGGAGGCGGCACGCCGTGGCGTTCTGCACAGGAAGATCGTCTGCTCTTCTTTCCTCATTCTCCCACCGGCGTGAAGCATCGTTTGTAGCTGGTACGCCCCCCCCCCCAAAAAAAACGCGGTCAATCGATCAATTGATTCCTCATTCTCACTTCGTCCTGCATCCTCGCCAAGCGCTGTTCACCCGAGACGAGCTACATGCACCAGTCATGAGTGGGTTGATGCCTCCTGGTACCCCCTCCCCTCCCCCGTCCGAGCGCCGAGCACATTCCCGGCACAGGGGTGTCGGTGTGGGCTAAGACCCGACAGAGGACCGCCAGGTGCATGTAATTGTGCCCCACCGTCATCCACCTCCCTCCATCCAATAGCCCTGAAATGGTCATGACGGGCCGAAAGTGTTTCAATCTAAACCAAAGCCAAAATCATGGGCGGGTGTTAAGGTTCGGTCGCTGTGCTCTATGGTTGAGTGTGATCTTCATGCCACGTGGTGCGGGTGGACCATGGAACTCCATGACCCATACAGTCGTTGAGTGGACAGGGGGACTTCCACGTCGTATTGGGTGACACTGGGATCAGCGCGAACCAAGATGGGAGCGGGCCCTTTCGCCCGACCCACGACTCATCAAACACAGCTTTCGGCGTATATAGAGCTCGCCTGACGGCAGAGTTGCGCTAAGATATGTTTCTATATGTTTATATGGGCAAGATACATGTTAAAGAAGCTAAATGGTTGGAGAAGAAAGAAAATGCTCCCTGAGATGCACCTGCTGGGCTCAATGTCTTCTATGATTGCAGCTCACGTTAAGTAAACCAAAGTAATCAAGACTGCAGGCCAACAAAGTGCACGCATCAAGTAATTAGCACAGTTTGATTACGCTACGTCGTCCCTGGCGCAATTGGGGTTTCACGATGCACTCAGATGCTGGGGATATATCGAGTCCCCTGCCTATCACCCTGCCAAGAAGCACGGACACTGAATGAAATCGAACCACATACATTTATTTCCTACGTGCGTGGGGCTTAACCACTGCTTTACTGGAATTCCGTAACTGACGCTAAATGTAAACAAAGAAGTGCAGCATGATGTGTGAAATCCTATAAGTAAATACAACATCTACCGAGAGTTATTAATGCGCCTTCGTAGCAACCATGCGGCACATTTTGTTCACAATGACATGTCGCCTTTGTTTAAAAGCAATACTTGACAAATTGCGAAAATAAGAACATGGTTCAAAGTACGTTATTTCCTTTAATCATGATGTCATGCATTGTCTTGTCACGTCATCTTGTCATTCTTGCGACACTCCCGCAACACCATTGTCAGCAAAATAGCCAGACCAGTTTCAGCTTTAAAGATAGCAGTACCAGGTCCCTTAACGTGCCGTTGGTGGTGCCTAGCTAGACGCTCTCCAGACAAACTCGCCGAAATGCCATACCAAGTTTGCATGGGACAGGTTCCAGACCAGACGTCCTGGGGCGCCACGGAAGCTGTGCCCGCTCACGGGTCGGTTTATGTGCTACTTCTGATGACCTTTACGGCTCGTGAACCCATTGGTGGGGTCTACCATGCCCATCGGGCATCCGTCTGTCCGCCTACTGACATATTTCCGATTCTGGGTATACCCCTCGCAACAGAGAGGGTGGCCTTGTTGACAGTGGCTCAGCGATGGAACCAGACATATTGGCGGGGTCATGCCCATCGGACATCCGTCTGTCCATCTGCTGACGTATTTCCGGCTCTGGGTAGACCCCCTCGCAACAGAGAGGGTGGCGTTGTTGACATTGGCTAAGCGATGAAACCTGACACGTTGGCGGGGTCATGCCCCTCGGACATCCGTCTGTCCGTCTGCTGACGTATCTCCGGTGCTGGGTAGACCCCCTCTCAACAGAGAGGGTGGCGTTGTTGACAGTGGCTCAGCGATGAAACCAGACATATTAAGAATCACGTGAATATGATGAGTCATTCTTTATCCTGAGAATGAGCTCGTTCTCATTTGCAACGACAAGCGTGGACATGATCTTGGCAAGAGCACAGCGTTAGCGACACAGCGGGGCGCAGCGAGCATGTTCTGTAAAATGAGAAACAATGAAAATTAACATCTAATGTATAGATCTGTCTTATGGGTAGTCTGTTTGTCTGATGTATATGTCCTGCATCAACCCTAAATCGCAACCAGACAAGCCAGCCGTTTGTGCTCCTCGCGGCTTTATTCTTCCCTTTATGGGGTCGTTCCCTCTCGGCACAAGGTGCCGAGAACGTGACAAAACGGTAACGTGACGGAGAGGCTTACGGAAAATGCCGCATTGGTCCAGCTAAATCTGACCCGTTTGCTCCGCTCGTTACTGCCTGAAAAGAGGCACTCACTCATACGTCCTCAGACGGGCGAAAAATGAGAGGAGGCAATGCAACGCGTGTCAGTCCAATTAGTAAGGCATTCGCTCGCTGGACAGGCGTTGGTAAATCCGGCGCGGTTAGTGTCACTGATGCATCACTCATCTCGCATTAGCGGCAAAATTAGATGTGATTCATTTTTATGGTCATTACGTTTGTTATACAGTATGTGCCTTGGTGTGTTTAGGAAGGAGTACACCCGGCGTTATGTCAAAAGGAGATGGCTTGATTTAGTTGTACGCTAGTTTTGCCTGCTTGCCGTTATTTTATGTCTGAATGTGAAATGCAAACTCTTATGATATACGAACGTTCAACTGCGATACCAAGCCAATGAACGCCTTATTCACCAAAAATGATGATCCGCATCTGAGCCAAGCACCGTTCGCCGAAAGCGCCCACATCCTGACACCCCCGCACTCGGTTCTATAACAGTCCATATCTCGTGTTTGTGCCGGCATTAGCCCGCCATCCGCGTGGCGACGGCGCCCACCTGTCCCCCGCCCACGCTGCCGCCGCCCACCCACGCCGGTGAGAGCCCCTGTTTCTCCTCCCGTCGGTGGACTTCCGGCCGGCACCCGCCGTGACGTCACACCAGACCCCTCCCCGTCGCCGGCGGCGGCACCCTGGGACATGTTTTGTCGGGGATTATGGCGGCAAGGCGGAACTCATTTGTGCGCCGGCCGGCACGCGGGAACGCCGGTATATCCGGAAACGGCTGGGCTGAGAGCGGCGTCGCACCAGCCGCTGAGCGCACGGGCTCTCCACCCAGAGCAGGGCGGGTCGGGGACGACGGAGGTTCGGCGGGTGGTGGCGGGCGCGTTTGCAAGGGGTGTAGTGAACGAGACTCAGAAAAATGTGGCGTGACTAGGGCCAAGATTTTTGCGGCGGTGCTATGACATGTATACTTTTGCACTGAACTTTACTAGATCATTTAATGTGAATTAAATTAGTTTTACCCTTCGTCAATAGGCACATCGACAATCACAAAGCGACAATCATAACCACTACACGAAGAAACAATACGACAGTTAAGCATGCCACATACTTTGAAACATGCATTGCAAACGGTTCTTGAATGTAGAGCAGGCACACGCGCTACGTCGTTGCTGATGACATGCTGTTAGATATTTGCAGCCGGTGGACATATATCGCCTTTCCGTGGTTGTTGTTGGGGCGAGAAAGAGATAAATGATTAAGCTGGCGTGTGATGCGCTCAGTGGTTTCATGGCTGTTAGTGACCTCTCAACACGAGGTATCAGGTTTGGTGTAAAAGGCCAACATCGAAGGCGTCAAACTTTTGCCGCACTATACCAAATTAGTCTAACTGCTATAGAACATTCACCACGTGGTGAAACTGACGTCTCAGGAGGTTACCCCAGCTGCAAAGTTCCCCACTTTCTGCGATCCGGCAACATCTGTGCGGTTTACGCACCCATAGTCCTGAGCGCGGTAAAAAAAAAACCGGGAAAACATAAGCGCGTCGAGATGATGCTCGGCAGAACACTGTCATGCGCGGCCGCGTTTGGCATTGGGGAGAGAGAGAGAGAGAGAGAGAGAGAGAGAGAGAGAGAGAGAGAGAGAGAGAGAGAGAGAGAGAGAGAGGGAGAGAGAGAGAGAGAGAGAGAGAGAGAGAGAGAGAGAGAGAGAGAGAGAGAGAGAGAGAGAGAGGAGAGAGAGAGAGAGAGAGAGAGAGAGAGAGAGAGAGAGAGAGAGAGAGAGAGAGAGAGAGAGAGAGAGAGAGAGAGAGAGAGAAAGAGAGAGAGAGAGTAACATTCACTGAACGTCTTTACAAATGCAGTGCCGAGTGTGGCGGAGGGCTTGCCCTCAACTAGATGCAATGATATTCATGTTTATGGGAGTTGTCATACATGGCACGCTTGATTTTCGCACCTTGCGCCGCAGCAAAATGTCTGCAACGTGTCACCATATGGAGTGTTCTTTCCCGAGATCGCCTCTCTTGTTGGTGGGAGCATGTCTCTATGCCCTGGAGATCCCAGGGTTTGCTGTCCAAACCGTAAGCACAGCGTCTCCCTCCTGTCTGCAAGTGATTCCTTTTTCAGAATCTGTAGAAGCCGTTGATAACTCTTGTCATGCTCGGCAAGGATTTTGAGAGCCCGCTTCTGTACTCGCTCAATTTGTTGGGCTTGAGGGCCGGTGAGCTCGGGATGAAAAACAGTCGCAGAATGTTCGAGCAATGGTCGAACTTATGTGATGTAAATTTGTACCACTTGATCTTGTGGCGGACTGAATTTCTTCATAACGTTAGGCATATATAAAGCCTCCGAACCTCTCTTAACAATTTCATCAACATGTGCCTGTCACGTCATATCGCTGGATAATGTTACTCCTATAAGCGTAGTACTGCTAACAATTGGTAAGCTGGTCCCACTTGTTGCGATGCCCGAGAGTATCAGGGGTTTCTTAGCAGTAAAAACGTGCACTATCTGACACTTCTCAGTATTAAATACCATCTTATTTGCAGCTGCCCATCCACATTTGTCAGTTTTGTCTTGCAGTTGACTGTGCTCATGTATTCCGTCAGTTTCACATGCTTTATATATTGATATATCATCTACATATTTCAGACGATGTTGTGTCTCCGAAGCAGCACCGTTGACCATAGCTAAAAATACAGCCGGTCCAACCAGGATACCCTGCGGAGTGCCGCAAGTTATCGATTTCCAACCACTAACCGTTCCATCTGGCATCTTTGCTCCCTACTCTCGGCCCTGGAGAAATGAGGCCAGAAGAGCTTGTCTGGCTAATCCAACTCAGAGAGTGGATTGTGCAGCAATCTTATCAAGTAGTGGGACGTTGAGACACCCTTTACACTACCCTTTACGTTGAGGCGTCCTTGACGTATTGGCGTTTGTCTATTGACGTTTATCTATTTTCTGTACGTCTGTATTGCTGGGGCGAGTGGCCGAACCCGGAGCGGCCTTTGTCCAAAGGCAGGACGGTGGTTGTCCCCCGGATCAGGCTGCGTTGCCGCCTGTTTCTGCAAAGTAACGTTCCGTCGTACCGGCGTCAGCCGTCATGCCACGCTGGACAAACCGTGTGACCAGAGCCGTCTCCAAAGATTGATGCAGATCTGAGGCCCATTCGTGCTCCAGTGACGGCGATCTGCATGCCGTCAGCGCGGCGGGCTGCTGTTATACGAAAGCCTTTTGCTAACCCTACGCGATAGGCTTGCTTACCCACCGTCATGCGGGATAGGTTTCCTAACCCTATTTTCTTGCGCGCACGATAAATTGTCTGCTAAACACGATCGGATGCTGGTAGCGACTTTCCTCCAGTGGAATGCAAAGGACAGTGACGCGGGTTGGCAGTGGTTCGCCCACTGTTAGCAAAAGTTGCGCGTAAACTCGATGGGTATTGCGTGCTGGGACGACCTTTTGTGTACATGTGATGAGGGCGTTGGAGGGGGGGGGGGGGAGGGGGCAGCCGAAAACCAGAAGACCCAACACACCTCAAATGTGTTTGTCTTATCGGACTTACAGCACTCTGTTTCGGCAAACGGCGACGCCCGTTCCTAATTGTTGTACCCTTTCACGAATGGTCCTGCAGTTGAACAGCGTAGTAGTCATGCCCATCGAGGCCCCAATAAAGTAGGCTTAAAGACAGGCAAAATAACTCGATAAGACAGGTTTTGTGTGGCATTTAGCATCTTCCCTGAGGTTTGGGCTACCGAGAAGGCACTGTCTGGTCGTTGAAGGAAAAACAAAACTTCTTGGCAGTTCAGATCTCTTAAAGGGTGATAACCGAATTCCGGTAACCGAATGCTCCGGGAATATAGACCTACTCATAGACGGTGGTTGGGAAATTCGCACTGCGCTCGATGACCTCATGTTGGAAATTATGCAGTGTCTCGTGATATCTCTTATCTCCGTGCCACATCATGTTGGAGCGAAAAACATGAAGGAAATGTGGTACGAAAACGAAAGAGGGGCTAACGTCTACCTAGCAGAATGGAAACAAATTGTGAGTTGTGGGTGCTAGATACTAGACCAAACGACGTCCTGTGCTTACGTTTTACTGTTGCATTCAGAGGCCACCGAAAGGTGGCGTCTGGGAGATATACCAGTCTCCACTGTTGCTAGAACTCATTTGTCCTAACCGTGCTGCATCGCAGCGAAAAAAAGTGTAAAAAGTCGTGTTTAGGTCCCTCGTCCATCTCCTCAGAGTGTCTGTCGCCACTGACCTAATTCAGCTGCTTCTGAACCGTGACGTAAGGAAATATGATAAGCCCGTCATCCCCTTTGCTGTGCGTGAGGTCATGCACCTCATTCGCGCGGGCGTCAAGGTTTGAACCTACCCAACGGATTTAGATTGCTCACAGGACCCGACGCTAGGTCGGGCCCTGCTGCCCCGCACCTGACCGCGCAGCCGTACCTCCCCCCCCCCCCCCCCCCCCGCTGGGGAGTGGCGGCCGCGCACGACCCAACAGCTGACGACCCCCGGCCGAACCGCAGGGCCGCTCGGACCTGACGGTGCAGCTCATGTTCCTGGACGGAGAGGAGGCGTTCGTGCGCTGGTCCGACCGTGACTCCATCTACGGCTCCCGCGCGCTGGCGCGCGACATGCAACGCTCCGTGTTCCAGCTGAGGAACGGCCAGTCAGCCGTCTCGGAGCTGGACCGCATCGTAAGTATAGCCCAGCCGCGAGCCGGCTGTCATCTCAGCTGCCGCCCGCTATCAGCCGCGGCTCGCTGTCAGCTCAGCTCCGGCCCGCTGTCAGCTGCGGCCCGCTGTCAGCTCAGCTGCGGCCCGCTATCAGCTGCGACTTGCTGTCAGCTCAGCTGCGGCCCGCTGTCAGCTGCGGCCCGCTGTCAGCTCAGCTCCGGCCTGCTGTCAGCTGCGGCCCACTGTCAGCTCAGCTGCGGCCCGCTATCAGCTGCGGCTCGCTGTCAGCCCAGCTGCGGCTCGCTGTCAGCTCAGCCCCGGCCCGCTGTCAGCTCAGCTGTGGCCCGCTGTCAGCTGCGGCCCGCTGTCAGCTCAGCTTTCGCACAAGCCGTGCAGCAGGCCGGGCTCTTTTTAGTACAATTTTGGTATCTTAGAGATAATTTAACCTAGTGTTTTGCAAGACTGTCTTGTGAGTGTCTCAACAGAGTCTTTGGTCTTTCCGGGGTTAGTCCGTCGCGTTTTCTAGAGGCCTTTATCTGTGCAACTACTGATTGGTAGAGGTGTGTAGAGCCACCGCATTTTGTAACAAGGACCGCAGTGATGGACTGTGCTGTTTTTAAGGTGCATGTGTGCAGCTTGTATGAGCAGGCGCAAATTTTCTATAGCGTCGCGGCATACGCAAAAGGTAGCCTTCTCCTTTCGGTTCATATGGAATACACAGCATCGTCTCGGTCGGATAAAGCTGCACGACGATTGCTGAAGCCGTGCTCACTTCTCAGCACAGGGTGTGTGGCGGCGCAGGCCCAGCTCCTTTCAAGGAGGGAGGGGATGGACGGTCGTCATGGCAACAGCTTGGCTGGGTGTGTGAGCACTGTGCAGAAGTTCACGTGCCCTCCAGGACCAGACATAGATCCGCTTTTGGACGTTTTTAAGGGTTGGTTTCATATCTTGGCAGCCAGAGCAGATGAGGGCATGCATCGGACTAATGAATTACAGGCGAATGTGACATGTACAAGTCAGTAAGCGATCACAACGCTGTTCAACGGAAAGTGATGCCAATTGGGCGACGAACATGCAACCTCGACTTTTCACGACTAGTCTCAAATACCTTTGGATCTAGCCTGAACCGACAGAGAATGGGCCATGCAAGCTACAAAAGTGTGAGGCCATGGTCCTTGAGACCAGCGTCCACCTGAAATATTCGTATTTTACAACACATTGGTGCAATGGTAAAATGCAACACAAAAATAGAATACAGTACATTGTTACAGACATGCAAAGAAGCAAGCAAACAGTGCTGGCTCGGACTTCGTCCTGCTTTTCAGACTGTTTCACTCGCGCCTTCAGTACATGTGCTTGCGCTTTGTGTTCGGCCGCGGCGTGATGGACAAAAACCATGCATTATACTAGTGCCACCACGCGGAAACGGCCTCCTATGTTGTCAGTGTTATGGTCAAAGACTTGTACAATTATTGCAACGTAATGTAAAAACTCTCGACAAAATTAAAGATACCGAATGAAACTGGCAACTATGCCACAACTTTCTGCATGCATAACTGAACATTGCCATTCGACACGCCAAGTCGCTCAAACTTTGGCAACTTTGCCATAACTTTCTGCATGTTACTGCACTTCGTGCAAAAAACGTACCATTCTATAGGCGACATTGTCTGAAGAGGAGTTGGGCGCGAGGCATTCTGAGCACGATTTCAGCGTCAGCGCTAGTGGACTGCTTTGTTTTGAAGAATTGTGCAACATAAACTTTGTTGTTAGCCAGCTATATCTCCGGCACCTTCCCCTGCGAAACCACGCTGTATCCTATGAATGCAGTTGTCAAGTTGTCTCCTGATACGGCCATTTCTCATATGCGGTCTCAGAGTAGCGATCGCATGCTCCCGGGAACTCCTTGGAGCGCTTCATTACGCAAGAGCGCTGCTCTGACCAACCGGTTTCACGAGATCGACTGCCTTCCCTCCCTTCCTGTAAAGCGTATCATTATCCTTACAGCATCGGGCGAGCCCAATGGCTGGATCGCAGGGCTGTTAGTGAAAGCTGCTTGTGTTGAGCTATTCCGGGGCGGGTCGCGGGGGTGCTGATGAGCGAACTTTCAAACTGTCTGGGCGCCGCCCAGCCTGAGCCGCTGTTTGCCAGTCGCCGCCGCGGAGAAGGTCGATACAACAGTCAGGGTTATGAACAGCCGTCACATCCGGTGGATTTAGTCGCCGGCTGTTATGGCCCATCCATTATTTCTGCTTGCGCGAAGTGTCGCTCGTCAGGCTGCCGCGTGCTAGAGCCAATAATCCATGCGATCTTCGGCGGCGTTAATTGGGAACGCGACACTCCGTCGAGGGTCGCCCTCCTGTCACTTCTGTATTGATCGGTTGTATGCCGGCAGCCTCCTCAACCGGCCCGCTCTGTTACACGGCCGAGCGGAGACCCTAAGAAATGTGAGCGGAGCGTAACGTAAACGAAACGTTCAGAAAAGACAAAAACAGGAGCTGGGTGGAATCGCAAAGTAGCCATTGCTAACGCACGGCAAACGAACGCCATCGTGGTGTGTGGAGCGAGTGTGGCAGGGCAGGCGTATAAACACGCATCGTGTCATGTTGCTTTCTGAAAGGCGAAAGATACGAGGGCGATGATTCTCTTTGGTTGCTTGTGCCTGGTGTGAGCCCTGATCCTGCAAACAAGCCGGACGTTGGTGACGGAATCCCCGCGGTAGAGGTATGTCCGGGGAGTAGGCACCCGTCATGCAAGAGGCTACCAACAATCCATAACAATTTCATGTAAGCTGTCGGGTGAGCCCCGAGCTTGCGATGAGCTACTGCACCTTGTGGCTCCACGCATCAAGAAAAGAGCGGCTCAAGGTATCTATTATCGGTTGAAATATGTTTTTTAAGATGACGAAAAGCACGGAATGCATTCAAAGTACGCACTGAACTAGCACACAAGGCAAATTGCATACACAAAAAAGGGCACCGCTGTCGCGTGCGACACGATGTAGCCAAACGCTGCGTCCATATCCAACAAGATAGCAAGATCAAGTTATCTTTTAAGCGCCACGCTCCGTTCTGAAGGCGCTCGTTTTATGATTGTGGCCTGGCCCTGGTTTGCACTGGACTCCATTCACCGCCTGCTAAACATAAAGATTCGTTTTACGTTTCGTTTGCGCCACCCTTATGTTCCACTTAAGCTTCGCTTCTGAAACGTATGGATCTGACCAACAGAATCGGCGTTTATGTAAACGTGGTGATCGAATATTGTTGTTGAGGTAGCACTGGCAGAATGTGGTGTCATCTATTACCTGTTGGACAATATGGGACACGCTTTCTTTTCTTGGTGCTAACTGTTCACGTTGCGCTGCAACACTTTTGCAAAGTTTTGCACACACGCCTTGTCCGACCGGACTCGTTTTGCACGCCGACTGGGTAGCCGGCACACCAGTGTGGTGACGAGACATTTGGGGTGCATATCATGCCGTAATGGCGCCATGGGCTGGCTGGCAAGGCATCGGTGCACGGATGCTACTGTTATGGCTCGCCTGAATCGGTCGTGGTCAGAAACTGGCTTCGGGCAACACACAACTTTAGATTCACTCTAGAGGACACAAGGCTCGGGATGCTCGGTATGCCTTCCTCATTGGACTTCGCACGGATACTCTCTCAAACGTTAGAAGGTACGAATGCCATAGCAGCAAATACATTCATTCGTACTGCATGACTTGGCATAAAAGGAATTTCAACTTCATGACACAGATCAAGGTCATGGACTGAATGTTGCGTGAAACTATGCATTTTTGCGGCGGCAGCCACTCACCATAATCCGAAATTTGGAAGTCAGGTCTTCCGTGAGCTGTGACACTGATGACGAATGTTGCGATATGAAAAGCCATAAGCTCTCGAATGGAATGTTGCACGAAAAACTGTCGTTGTCCTTGACATTTTTCCCAGTTACTGTGACCACATGACTGGGTGTCGTAAAAAGGTCGTCATAGCGCCATTCGAATCTAAACATCGCGTGCCTCTACAGGACCTGTTCGTCCTGCTAGACCTTCTGGGAGCCTCCAACCCCACGATCTCAAACTACATATCGGAGACGAACGGCGAGTTTCGGCACATGGCCGCCGTAGAGAAGAAGCTGCGCAAGAGCGGCTACCTAGAGGCGGTGCCGGCCATCTTCAAGTACCGCAGGTTCTGGGGCCTGTTCGGCGCGCCGCAGATCAGCGATGACCACCTCCCCTTCATGCGCCGGGGTGAGACCCTGCCGCACCGGCGCAGCTCGTCCGGCACGGTCAGCTAGCGACATTGGGCTGGCAGCTCTGTGGAATTGCTCACTGCTTTTTAGTAATTTCACACAGTAATTTTATGACACACAGTAATTTTCCATTGAAAGAACATAGCATTTCGGTCAGAGATCATCAGGGCACGCAAGCCATGTCAGGAGCTCGACCTTTTGTAACCGCATCTTGGTGACCATACTTGGTAAAACAGTCTGCAATGTAATCAGGCTGCGTGCTATTTGAACACAGCCGCCAACTTGTTGTGATGGCAATAGCTCACAAACAACTAAACTCTTTCTGCGTCTTCTTTTATTTTTGTCCGAGCATCCTACAGCCCATTGCCTTTGCACGCTCACTATCCCACAAAGCTGGAGGTGTCAAAGCACCCGCCTCGTCCACGCGCCGGGCAGCGGTCGTGTTTTGGCCCTGGCCTTGTCTGGCCTCCATTCATTCGCCGATTAGCTGCGACATCAGCTCTGCTTGACGCGCAACAAGTGACAGCTGTGACACGTTTCCTGCTGATTGTTTGATAACGATCGGTCGTATTTCGTCGGCTTTCCAGGCGTGAAGGTTCTGCACGTCATCCCACACCCGTTCCCTTCTGTGTGGCACAAGAACTCGGATAACGCCGCCGCCATCCACCGACCCACCGTCAACAACCTCAACCGGATCATGCGCGTTTTCGTCGCAGAGTACCTCAACATACCCGCCTACCTGTAGGCAAAGGTAAGTGAAGACTACGTGCATGCACCATCTGTGTCGCGGCCAGCCCCCCTCCGCTTCCACGTCCAGTCAAAGTGAAACTAAGGTGCAGCCTGCATTCCCTGTCTGGTAGATATCACTGAATGGAACTGGTTTTGTCATGATTTACAAGTCACGGCCAACGCAATTCTCCTTGGTATTTTGGAACAGAACGTATTGAATTTTCGCGAGTCAAAATGTGAATTCCAAGCGGCAGCCATGACGCTCCTCGTCCTATGTGTAAGTTCTCAGGTAGGCTTAACGTGTTTCTGTACATATGCAACGGCCTAAATGGGGCCGGTGTTTTATATCGCTGCGTGACCTGTGACGCAGGGCGCCGCTATCGCTGCGTGACCTGTGACGCAGGGCGCCGTTATCGCTGCGTGACCTGTGACGTAGGGCGCCGTTATCGTTGCGTGACCCGTTACGTAGGGCGCAGTTATCGTTGCGTGACCTGTGACGTAGGGCGCCGTTATCTGTGAAATGGTGCCAGAGTTCGTGTTCGCCGAGCTTTCAGTGGCGGCACTCATCACACATGCAACTGACACGTAATCGAACGGAAGAGGTGCAGATGCTTGCTTTACCGAGGATGACATCTTGTACTGTGTTAGATGGGAAGCCTCTGAGTTGGGCCCATGTCCGCGTGTGTTCCAGGAGCCGCCATGAAGCCGGGCCGGGAGCTGTTCCGATTGGCCCTGATCCTCGGTGACGTCAGTCACTGACCGCGGGTTGTCACAGGGTGTGGTACAGGACATTCGTCCAAATCAGCAGACCTGACCCCTGGCACAAGATGGCCGGCGCCGGGCACGTTTTGACTTTGTCCTGCTCCGTTTTGTTCAAGTTCACATTGTGTTTTAGCGATATGTCGTCTTATTGCACGGACAATTGTTTGCGTTTTTATGAGATGATCGAACCCCTGTTGAGCGCTACGACACTATGACTTCAGCTCGGTGACTCTTCCGCTGAGCATATGAACACTATCGAACATATTTGCCACTAAATATTGTTCATGCTGAGGTAATATGCACTACAACCAGATACAGCACAGACACTAAATGCGTGCCGACAGAAAATGCGAAGGGCTGATGAGGCAACAGAGGAGAATGTGCCTGCCATGTCCTGCTCCTCCCGTTCCCAAAATCTCACACTTCCTTCCAAATGTAGTGTTGTGAAGTTGTCATTTAGAACAGACCCCGGGGTCTCCAGGGTTCCACGCATTCATTGCTTTCAGGAATAGCCGACATGCTGTTGGTGCTTTGCGGCGCCCAGACCCCAATAAGAGTCGGCGGCCTCGCTTACACGCTGCTCGCCTGGTGAAAGTCCCTCAGAGACCGGGGTTGAATGCCGTCATTGGTCACCGCTCAAGCCCAAAGATGCATTCAATTCACTCACCCAGTTGTGCCGAACAGACTGCCTCGCTTGCCCTTCTGAATTATCCGAGCCGAGCCCTGCATTGACTTCTTATGTGCCTGTTCGTGTGCGGACTTCTAATGTGTACGTCTGTGATACTTTGAGACCGCGCCATCAACTACGTTGTTATTTTCTGTAGGTGCAGCTGCGCACCATGGGAAGCGAATCATGAAAACGAACATTGGTAATCGTTTAGTCTACAGCTTCCGAGCCGCGAGTCGGTCATCAGCAGACGTCTAAAAATTCGACGGCTGTCCTGGTTTGGAGTGTGGAATCAGCGTGGAATTATAGGCCACATGCACGTAGGGTACACCCGACTGGACGATGGCCATTCCAGGATTAAACGGCAATCTATGATGTCCTTGTTTTATCTGAAATCGGCTCGAAGTCTGCAGTGCTTCTGATGAAGAGCACCATATTGTACCCATTTGAGCAGAATAGTGCCGTTCTGTCGTCCGAAAATCGTGCTGTTTTAATTTGCACCCTCGAAGCATCGAAATTTACCGGAGTCGAACGGCCACTGGTTCGCCTCAAAGGACTAAACCAGTCGTCATTGGCCCCTAAAACGGCGGGCTACCATCTGACCTCTCGTTGTATGACTTTAACTCAGTCTGAGGTGAAGTGGTAAAGGAACGTGTATAGCCATTGTCTACGACAGAAGTTGAAATAGCTTGCGTCAGCTCAATTACAAGTACGTTTCTAGCAACCGCCAGTCCGAAAGCACGCCATCATATTTCCCCATTTCGAACCCAATTATTCGTCAAAGGGGTAAGCATTCATGTTCGTAGGACGCCTGTATTGATTCATATTTTGGGAATGTGTGAGCTACATTCGAATGGGAAGGGGTTTTGGAATGCTCGGTCAAGGTAAGCAAATTATATGGCGTTTTCCCTGAGGAATGAATCCTCAACCATGCTCAGTCACCTTCATGACTGTTCATGATTTGCAATCATCACATGGCTTGCGTTGCCTCAAGCGGGTGTCACCCCGGGCAAATGTGCAAAACCGCTTGACAAAATTGGTTTGCAACAAAGCTTTTACCGTGCGCTGCAGTGTGCTCGGAAAGGTGTAAATTGACAATTTGCTTCTTTGCTCATTCGTTGTCGATCAGATAACCATACTTTGATCTGTCCTTGCCTGACCAAGCCTGCTGAGTCCCGGCAGGTCGAACGCAAAGCGCTGTGTCATTTATTTCAGACGACATACCGGCAGGTGCACATAACATCACCCAGTGATGTACGAATATATTTTGTCACAAACTTGCCTACGCGTGTGTGCCCATCACTGGCCCAATAAGCGGGCCGAGGCTGCGTCACAAGCAGGGCAGAGCAGGGCCGCGACATGAGGCTCAGAGTGATCGCAGCTCAGGGCACCGGCCTACCCAGCGCTGTACTGCACGGTGGGCACTGCTGCACGGGACGCTCACTCGCACGCAGCAGGCCCAGCGCTGTACTGCACGGTGGGCACTGCTGCACGGGACGCTCACTCGCACGCAGCAGGCCCAATGCTGTACTGCACGGTGGGCACTGCTGCACGGGACGCTCACTCGCACGCAGCAGGCCCAATGCTGTACTGCACGGTGGGCACTGCTCCACGGGACGCTCATGCGGACACGGCAGGCCTTGCGGCGGTTGGAAACCATGGCGGGTGCAAGGCACAGTGTGGTGGAAAGCACCCAGTTCGCCGCCCTTTTGGGGCCCAGCTTAAATCGTGCGCAGGGCGAGTCATGGCTGGGGTTATTCGCGAACCGATCGAGAACAGGCTGACAACCCTGCTTGTCAGCATGCGCGCGCGCGGGGAGATTAAACGCCGGCTGTCCAAACGTCGGTCCTGGAGAGCACAACACAGCTCACACATCAGCCGCCAGCTGAGCTAGATCACCTGATCAATCGCGCCCAGACGTCTTCTGACCGGACAGCACCAACCTCTCGTTGAGCGTTCTGTGACGCTGGGGCGCATCCCGGTTCAAGATAGAGGTTCCGAGATGAAATAATTGCCTCTGACGTGCAGGCACTAGAGTGATAGGTATGAGAGACGGCACAAATAAAGCCGACGAGTCCCACCAGGCAAATCTCAGGCTGTAACGCGAGCGGCGTGGCGGAGCGCCGGAGACGCCAATCACTGGGTTCTGACTGGTAGGACTCGCGGTGCGGCCGCAGCGCGCGCGTGGGAGCAGTGGCGAGTCGACAATGATACCGGCTATAGACCGCGGGACACCTAACGCCAAGACCTTCCGTGGAGACGGGACTGTGCAAGTTTGCCGGCCAGCTGCACCACAGGGCCTTTCCGAACTGTGACCTGCGTCGCAGTCAACGCCAGCCCGTCAGCTTGAGCCATCGACGACGCGCCTGCCTACTGCCAGCCCAACCAAGCTCCGCCAGGAGCGCGACGGCCGACGCCAGCCAGCCGTACAGCAGCAGGAAAAAAGTGGTGCGCATGCGCATCAGGCTCAGCGCTTGGTGGCGCGCGCCGTCGTCGCCGCGCTCGGCGCGCGCGCGCTGCAGCATGGCGCGCCGCGCACGCTGCGTGTCGTCGGCGATCATGGCGTCCATCCAGTAGCGCACCAGGCCGGCTTCGGTGCAGCGCTGGATCAGCGCGTCGATCTGCGCCAGCAGCGGCGTGTGGCGCCGCACGGCGTGCGCCACCAGGAACGGAAACATGCGCTCGCGGCCCAGGTGCAGCGCTTCGAGCCGCACGCGCCCGTCCGACTCGACGGCCGCCTTGTTGCGCTCCGTGACGTAGTTGACGGACTCCTCGAGGAAGGCGAGCCGCCGGCCCGGCTGCAGCATGGCGACAAACGCGTCGGCGGCGGTCATCTCGACTAGCCGCGGCCGCAGCTGGTCGTACAGCTCGCCGCGCAGCGAGCGCACCATGCGGCCCCAGATGGGGAACTCGGCGTTGGTGGCCACCGTGTAGCCGTGGCTGACCAGCTGACGCAGGTAGTCAGGCGCCCAGAAGCGGCGAGGCTCGGCCAGCCCAGCTGCTAGGCTCGAGGTGAAGCCTGTGCACAGAACGATGCTCATTAGCAGCCAGGCACCGAGCAGAACGCGCAGCGCCGCCTGGCGCGGGAATCGGTCAAGCGACTGAGTCGTCAGCACGCCCACGGCCAGCACCAGGCTGCGGCCAGGCGGCCATGACGGTGTCCATCGTCCCGACGGCAGCACCATCTTTTGCTGCGACGGTGGCGCCGTCTCTTGTTCCAACGGTGGCGCCGCCTGAAACGCCGCCACCGACGTCACCTGCCTCTCCGGCAGTGGTGGACCGATGCCGATTGAAAACGGCGTCATCAGTAGGGCGACAACCAGCATGCTGACCACCATGGCCGTCCAGAGCGACGGCGGGAATAGTCGCGTGAGCTCGATGTCATCGGGGCTCGCGATGCGGCCGCTGATCATCACCATCTCGTCGATGAAGACGGTGCGCGTGAAGGCGACCACCTCTGCCCGCTGCGGCTCCATGATCAGGCCCGAGACGGCGGCGTCCGCCGTCCCTCGCTTCACAAAACTGGGAAGCATCGGCATGCGTCATGGGTTTGACCAGCGTCAGTCATGCTTTGCATTAAACACCAATATAGGCAAGGTCCGCAAAAAGCGTGGATCACCAGATTTCCCGGAAAATCTATCGGGAGTGGCCAGCTTCCGACAGCTTTAAATGGTATGACACGGCTCAGGATTTGGGGGATGCTTTCTCTTTTTTTGCCACGGCTAATACATTCTGAATTACTGCACAGCGGGTTCGGAAATGCAGTCGAAGCCGTAAAAAAGTATCGAGTTTGCTAAGTTCATAGCCCGATGGAATTGCTGCGCGTTGAAGACTTAGCAATCATATTTTGGTAGCAAGAAGCATAAAAATACCACATTTTGCCTTTATATGAAGATAGTATCGGCCAATATTGAGGCTAATGCAAAAAATACAAGAATAATGCAACGTTGTTATCGCATGGAGTGTGACTTATTAGATGTCTATCAGAATGAACGAGCTCAATGACGTTTTGATACTGCACCAATGCATCTGATTAGCACAGTTTTCCTAAGCAGCATTCATTCATACTGTTGACGTCTCCATCGAGTTCCTAAAGGCATGAATGCCAGATTTTGCACGTGTTTACCCGTTGACCCTCGTCTGCCCTGCGGCAGCGTCAGTTTACCCGATGTTGCCGTGCCAAGAGCCGTTCTCGTCCTGGTGGCCCCAGGTGAGGTCGGGTGAGAGCACAAACTGCACGCTGAGGTTGAGCTGGCGGCCCGCCTCCTGCATGATGCTGACGTCCGGGCCCAGCCGCATCCGCCGGCATGTGACGTTCGGCGCCGGCGGCGGCACGTCCGCGCACCACGTGTACGGCTTGTAGTCCATGTAGAGCACGCGGAACGCGCGGCCGTGGCCGCCGTCGGGCCTCAGCAGCCGGGTGGGTGTCCAGGTGGTGCCACTAGCGGGCTCGGACACCAGCCGACCGGCCGGCCCCAGTTGGTGTACGGTGGTGCCATCTGCGCCGCTCTGCAGGCAGAGTGGCAGGCTGACCTGGCGCAGCAGCGGGCGCGGCCAGCAGGCCGCTGCAGCCTTCGCCGGGCGGAGCCAGCAGCGTCACCTGCGCGCGCATCCAGTGGGTCGGCCGGCGGGCGCGGCCCGAGACGGGCCAGCAGCTCCCGGCCGCCCAGCAGCAACGCCAGCCGCGGCTGCTGGCCGAACAGCAGCGCGACCAGCTCCGCCTCGGTGCCTGGGCGACCGCCGTGGACCAGGAGGCCGCCAGGCGGCGCCAGACGGCGCACCAGCGCATCCTGGTCGGCGGCGGCCGAACGGCCCGCCAGCAGTACCTCCGAGCTGGTGCAGGTACCCGAGCGCCGTGAGGCGGGCCAGCACGCCGGTGTAGTGCTCGGCTGCGGTGCCGAGACTGGCGCGGAGGTCTTCGGAGACGCCGGCACTGAGGAGCACGGTCCTGGACGCGTTCTCTGTGGAGGCAGAGGTGCTGGAAAGCCCTTCCAGGCCAGGAGCGTCAGCGATGCTACGCAGGCTCATAGAACTTTCGGCGGCGCTGGTCACGGTGAGAAGCGTAACGGACCAGGCGGCCACGAGGCGTGCCGTGCAGCTAGACTCAACAGACCGATGCATACCAACCGCGTGGCTTAGTCACAGGTCCTAGTGTGACTCCTTCGGGTCACGCTCCGCTGAATACCTCCGGTCCGGCAGCCTTAAGACCGGATGCACAACCGCTGGCCCAAGGTGTGGTCGGTGCCAATATTGCCTTGAACAATCCCAACACCACAGTCGTTTTCTTGCGTTGTCCCTGCCTTCGCGCCTGCTCCAGGTTTCGACTGGTTTTCTTGTTCAAGCGATCATCAGCCTACGGAGGTCAGGGATGGTCTCCGCCCGGTCTCGGTTGTCTGAAAAGAAGCTCAATCGCTGAAAGTACTCAGCCTAAGTGGGTCACACTGCCACAGACCGGCTGGTCACACTGCCATAGACCGGCTGGTCACACTGCCACAGACCGGCTGGTCACACTGCCACAGACGGGCTGGTCACACTGTCACAGACCGGCTGGTCACACTGCCACAGACCGGCTGGTCACACTGCCACAGACCGGCTGGTCAGACTACCTACAGACCGGCTGGTCACACTGCCACAGACCGGCTGGTCACACTGCCACAGACCGGCTGGTCACACTGCCACAGACCGGCTGGTCAGGCTACCACAGACCGGCTGGTCACACTGCCACAGACCGGCTGGTCACACTGCCACAGACCGGCTGGTCACACTGCCACAGACCGGCTGGTCACACTGCCACAGACAGGTTACGTCGGCAAGTGAGCCTCTGCGCCCTCGACCTCTATTATGTAGCCGGTCAGGCCGTCAAAAACGGCTTCATGGCACCGCTAGACATCAAAGAAGCTGAAGGCATGCGTGTGAATTGCCAGCAACTGTGCACTTCCCAGGCCGTTCAGGCTGATGAGGTATTGATTATGTTCCTTTAACACTGACGGCGGCGCCGGTGAATAAGGCCCTGCGTGTCCGCATCAGTTAGCGAAGAGCCGTTCGATGATGGCAGAAAGCCAAGGGCAGTGAATGTTGGTAAAACACCCATAAGCCAAACTAAGCAGCTTGGTTGTGGCCCAGTTCAAAGCCTCCCCCACCCCACCATTGTTGACCTTGTCAGGAGACAACTGGCGATTAGATGCCAACTGATCTCGATGCGTGCCATAGCGGAACGCAAGCATGCACGCGTGCGTGGACATGCAAGCGTATCAAAATAATATAGTTGGAATTTGTTAGG